GGATCCCCTTCCTGGGGCCCCCTCCTAGGCTCCACAATCCAGCCTTCTCTTAATCCTTCCACCCAACTCACCTCTCTCCCCAGGCTCTGTCATATTTGAGGGTTGCCCTTTTCACCATGACCAGTCTACTGCCAGGGAATTGGCCATGGTCACTCAAACATGCAGATCTGTGACTCCTACCCTCCTCCTCCCCTGTTCCAGAAAGTTCTCCAGTTTCTGGAAAGGTGGAAGGGCTCCAGAAGCCCTAACCTGTAGAACCTCCCAGCCTGTACTGAGGTGAACTTCTGCCTCACTCCCAGGCTGACTCATCCCAGGCTGCTACTCAGCCTCTATCTAAAAAAAGAAAACAACAAAACCTATCTAGCTAAACTAGAGGCCGTTACATAGAGAAACATTGAGAAAGGAAAGTACATCTGCCTGGAGATGGAGATCATTCCTGTTGCTAATTATGATGATGGGCAACTGTCAAGAAAAAGGCAGAAGCAATTTCCATCTTCAGGGAACTGTACATAATAGGCAGTACAATCATGTAGGCAGAAGGAGAGGTTAGTAATAGAAAAGCATAACAAAAATGTATAGGACATTCCTTGGCAAATCATAGCTGCTGGGCAGCGTGTGTAAAGTCCTCTCCTCCCCATCATCTTAGTAACAAACTGCTATAACAAAGCATATCAAATCATTGTCGCAGTCACCCAACTGACATCGCGGCCACGGCTGTCAATCACTGGGTCCCAACCGGTGATTACTCGCCAGCATCTGGTGACTGCCGAGGATCTCCGACGATGGGGAGAACTGTTAGTAAACAAAACAGTTCTCCTCCCTGTCAGCTCCGGCACATTGCTTTGCAGGGCTGTGCACAAACACAGAACATAGTGTAAACCAGCACACAGTTAACCCTTTGATTACCCCATATGTTAACCCCTTCATGCCCAGTGCCATTAGTACAGTGTTAGTGCTTTTTATTAGAACTGATCACTGTATTGGTGTCAATGGGGGTGTCAGTGACACCAAGTCAGTTCCCCCCAGTGCCAGAATGCTCGCCGCAGTCCCGCTTTAAGTCGCTGATCGCCGCCATTACTAGTACTATTATTATTATAATAAAAGATTTATATAGCGCCAACAGTCTGCTCAGCGCTTTACAATATAACGGGAGACAATACAGCAACAATACAGTTCAATGCAAGAGAGTTAGGAGGGCCCTGCTCCTTGGAGCTTACAATCTAAAAGTAAAAATTAAAAAAAAAAATCCAAGTATATATACTGCCATTTGTAAACGCTATAACTTTCACGTAAACCAATTAATTTACACGTATTGGGATTTTTTACTTAGCAAAGACATATAGTAGATCACATTTTGGCCAAAATTTTTGATGAAATTTGATTTTTTAAATTTTTTTACTGCACATGTTTAATAGCAAAAAGTAAAAAATATAGGTTTTTTTCTGAAAATTGTTGGTCTTTTGTTTTTATAGTGCAAAAAATAAAAACCGCAAAGGTGATCAAATACCACCACAAGAAAGCTCTATTTGTGGGAAAAAAGGACAACAATGTAATTTGGATGCAGCGTTGCATGACTGCACAATTGTCAGTTAAAGTAATGCAGCGCTGTAACGCAAAAAAAATGGCCTGGTCAGGAAGGGGGGTAAATCCTCTGGAAGGCAAGTGGTTAATTAGAGATTGCAACTTGAGTCCTGTGATGTTTAAAGTTCCTGATATGGTGGGATATGCTGTCTTCTGCTAGCAATGGTGGGGCCCATAAGCATAGGTGAATACTGGTAATTCAATAAAGATAACAGATAGGCTGTGTAAGGAAACTTTAACTGGCATCCATTTTGTAAAATACCTCCATTTCTGGATGTGTAAACAGTTTCAGTTTTGAGTTTCACTTGTAACTTCTCTCTCACTTCTGGAGTCTAGTTTCTGTTTCTCTGTAAACGGAATCACCTTATATGGTACTCGTCAGTTATTTGTAGTTTCTATCTTCTTTGATAAGAGCATAATATTTCATTGGTCATTCTGGCCTAGTAATGCCTACTGCATTTTGTATAACAGTTCTTGTCTTGTATTAAACTTTCAGAGATTTAGCTTTTACACTTCGATGTCTGGAGCTTTATTTCTCCCTGGCCTGGTGGTGAAAAATAATTGAGGAGAAGTTGGGCTACAGACAGGAATTGATCCTATCAGGCTGTGATACTGCTGAAAGCAAAGATCTCCTGGTGACTAATAGCAGAGAGAGAGATGACAGAAAGAGGTTGGGCATCCGCCCGCTCACCAATCCTATTGATAGCCCGGCCTCCTAGGAACAAGAGTTCTTGCACAGGCTCTTGGCTGTTTGCAGGGCAGAACAAAGTTGCTGACTGACAAACTGTTAGTGTGGCGAGCAGAGATGTTTGTGTGAAGACTGAATAGTGACAGCCCAGATGCAGAGAAGTTGTTGCAATCCTGGTATGGCAAACAATGTCACTGCTGTGCTGAACTGATGTGCAGAGTCCCGCAGCAGTAGGCTAGCAATCTGTCTCTGGAAGAAAATGGCAGTTCCCCTGTGTTCAGCTCTGAATCCCACATCAAAAGAGTGAGCCAGTCCTTTGCTATAGAATGTATCTACTTTCCCAGCATCCTTCTAGTTCCCCTACTCTCTGGTAGTTGTAGTTCAATCAGCACTCAGAAATACAGTATGTATTGGCTATAGGACTACAGGTCCCAGGATCCTTTGCTGTCAGAAGAACTGGATCCACTCTGCTAACCAGATGTGATGTATCAGTCCCAGTACTGGGCACTAGGGGGACAGGATTAACCATAGTCTTGTCTGTAAATGTCCCTCAATGACATAAAGATATAGCCAGCAACTGGCTGCAGTATGGTGTCATTGGGAGGAATAGTGCCCTATCATTTGTGTCAGTGGGAGGAATAGTGCCCCATTGTTGGTGTCAGTGGGAGGAAAAGTGCTCTATCATTGGTGTCAGTGGAAGGAATAGTGCCCCATTGTTGGTGTCAGTGAGAGGAATAGTGCCCTATCATTGGTGTCAGTGGAAGGAATAGTGTCCTATCAGTGGTGTCAGTGGGAAGAATAGTGCCCCATCGTTGGTGTCAGTAGGAGGAATAGTGCCCCATTGTTGGTGTCAGTGAGAGGAATAGTGTCCTATCATTGGTGTCAGTGGGAGTAACAGTGTCCTATCATTGGTGTCAGTGGGAGGAATAGTGCCCTATCATTGTCAGTGGGAGGAATAGTGCCCTATCATTGTTGTCATTGGGAGGATTAGTGCCCCATTGCTGGCATCAGTGGCAGGAATTATTCCTCATTGTTGGTGTCAGTGGAAGGAATTATGCTTCATTGTTGGTGTCAGTGGAAGGAATTATGCTCCATTGTTGGTGTCAGTGGAAGGAATTATGCTCCATTGTTGGTGTCAGTGGAAGGATTTTTGCCCCATTGTTAATGTTCCTCAGGAGCAGGATATAGGCAAGCAAACGGCCACATCCAGCCCCCAGGCCACAGTTTGGAGACCACTGCACTAACAGATTTAGATACACTAACAAACTGAAACCAAACTCCAGTTCACACTTTATAAGTAGTTGCACAAGCAGTTAGAGTTGTTTTCTTTTTAGGATATAATTTTGACATGAACAAATAAAAGCTGATCATTGTAAGCACCCTAGTTCGGGGTAAAGGGTTTGTCTCAACACTGTACAACTGCTACATCTGCAGGAGAGCTTGTTCTTTTGAAAAACACCAGACTTACTAACTGGATCACCTAAACAAAACTAATGCAGCCATCACATCTACAGTAAGAAATGGTAAGCTGTAATAAATATTTACTTTTGGGCAGGGCTTTTTTTCGGCGGGAACGTGGGGGGACATAGGCAAGGGGTGGTGGGGTGTACTGCAAGGTCCATTAACCCCTTCCCACCGGCGCCTCTCAGCCCTTTAAGAGTTTCAGATGCCGGGACGTGGTTTAGGGATCATGTCATCGAAAGAGCAGACCGGGACCTTTCCGTGAGTACCGGTCATGTGTTCACGGCACGCGCTCTCAGCACATATGTTTTTTTCTTACCTGAACGCAAATGTGTGGCCGCTTGGTGTCTAGGCCCAGATGCCGTGAGGCCCCACATTTGTGTGCGGCCGCGTAAAGGGGTTAATGCTGGCTGCTGGGGAATTTATTTTGCTGGAGGGGATGTATTTTTGCATGGGGGAGGGTGTGTCTATTGATGCTAGGGAGGTCTACTGTTGATAGCGGAGGATCTATTGTTTTTGGGGGGTCTTATGTTGCTGTGGGGTCAATTGTGTCTGGGAGGGATCCACTGTAGAGGCAGGGGGTCTATCGTTGCTAACCTCTGGGGGGTCTATTGATGCTGGCTGAGGGGAGATCTGTTGATGCTGCTGGGGGATTATTGCTGCTTGGGGGGGGATTGTTGCTGGCAGCAGGGGATCATTGTTCTGCTTGTCTTGTTTTTATTATCAATTCCATACACATTGATACTTGGTTCTGTGTTACCCGTTCACATATAATCAGCTGTGCGGGTCACGTTTTGCACGGACACGAGAGCCCATTCATTTGAATGGACTCCCGTGCCACGCAGGGAAGAAATCTCTACACTTCTTTGGAAAACACAGCCCACACAGGAACCTCGATTCCCAGTTTTCCAGTGCGGGTGGTCTGCACGGATTTTTGGGTGGATTTGCAGCTGCACCACCCGCACAGATGTGAACCTAGGATAAAGGGTGGTACTGGGAGGTAGGTAAGGGATGGAACACGGGGACAGTGCGGGACGAAGTCAGGGGGAGAGTTCATGCACATATCTCTGAGGAAAAAAGGCCCTGCACACCACTATAGTTTGCTTCCATTCATAAATATGACCCACTGAATGAGGGAGCAAAGCCGTGTCTCAATACTCCCCTCTGGTGGATAGCTGAGCGTGCTAAGAGCTCTGCTATTGATTGGTGAGGCCTGGACAAGATGGCTGCGCCCATGTGAGAGAAGTCAGTGAGCGGCGAGTTGGTAGCAATGTTGGGGCTGAGGAGAGCGGTGTGTGAAATCCTGGGCCGGGCTGGCAGGAGCCATTCTGATTTGTTGTCCGCAGGAAGGCAGGTTGTCAGAAGTCAGCCATGGATCGGATTGAGAGGCAGCCCGGCTGCAGCAGGTATGTGTGTATGAGGGGGGCGGCCTCCTCGTGTCTGTACAGGGCACCTTGACGGACCACAGAGGGCCTGTATACGGACCACAGAGGGCCTGTATACGGACCACAGAGGGCCTGTATACGGACCACAGAGGGCCTGTATACGGACCACAGAGGGCCTGTATACGGACCACAGAGGGCCTGTATACGGACCACAGAGGGCCTGTATACGGACCACAGAGGGCCTGTATAATGGACCTTTGTATGACGCCGAGTCACCGCACAGCTACTACACAGGACTCCACACTGACATATGAGGTCTGCACCATGTAGCCATCACCAGCTGTATTTGTAATTAGGGATGATTGGGGTTATGGAAGATTGTGGACACATCCAATGTACAGGGACACACACACACACACACACACACACACACACACATTATAGATACAACCCCCCCCCCCCCCCAAAAAAAAAAATTCAATGAAATAAATCAGTAACTTCAGCAACCCTGATCAATGTACTACAGGGGTGCTCAACCTTTGGCCCTTGGAACCCATTGATTTGGCCCTCCACCTCAAACCAGGGAAACACACTCCTATCCTGCGGTTTTGCTGCGCTCTCTGAAAGCGCACCCAAACTTGTGAATGTAGTAGTTTTGGTTTACTTTCAGAAAGTGCACACACCCGCAAGGTATAGTAGAAGTCTATAGCAAAACGTAGCTAACTCGCTGGAAAACTGCAGGTGCACCCGCGGTGCGGATGAGCCGCAGTGCGCCAGCGTGAAAGCAGCCTTGTAGGGGGCTCAGGACTGTAAGGCTAGGTTCACACCTATGCAGTTTGTGTTTGATCTGTTTCTGCACAGCTTTTTGAATTTTCATGCATTTTGCTGTTTTTTTTTCTCTTTTTGGCCATCTTGTTGCTGGGCAGATTAAAATGTGTATTAAAAGTGCATCAAAAACGCAGTACATGCTTTTTTCTGCAGCATATCCATTGAAGTCTATTGAACCAAAACGCAATGTTTTGCGCTTTAAAAAAAAAAGTCTCTGATACATTCCAGAAAACGCGGAGATGTGAACATGTCCCATAGAAAATCATGTTAAATGGACTGCAGTGCGTTTCTGCAATATACAAAACGCTTAGGTGTGAACCTAGACTAAGCGATTGTTTACATTTGCTGTTTGGGGGTCAATAAAACCCCATAGTCGAGACGTGTTTTTACCATACTAGTGTAGCATCAGGGGTTGCAACGGTGACGCAATGTGTGGCCTCCCTGTCACATTCTGTTTTACAGAAGGGGTGGAAGGGCTGCATATACAGGAACCATTTCTTTCCACTTTCCTCCTGCACTCGCTGAAAGCCGGCTTCTCCTCCTCTCCGTCCCACCGGTATTCAGCAGCTTCAGAAAGGAAAATATTCAAAATAAAAAAAAAAAATTCCAAATTCTGAACCATTTCATTGTGTACAGTTACCAAATCTCTTCACCCCTGGTTCACATGTATGCGGCCGTGCGGGCTGCATTTTGCACGGGCACGAGAGCCTATTCATTTGAATGGAATCCTGTGCCCATGACACGCAGGGGAGAAGTCTCTGCACTTCTTCCGATAACGCAGCCCGCATGGGAGCCTCGGTTCCCAGTACGGTTGCGTTTTCCAGTGTGGGCGGCGTGCCATTAGAATTAATGGCACCCGCCCACGGGTCTTCATTTCTCTGTGCGGGTGGTGTGGCTGCACAGGATCTTCATATGGATCTGCAGCGGCACCACCCACACATATTTGAACCAATGGTAAGTGTCCTTTGCTCTTCAGAAGGTTGAGCACCCCTGATGTACTACTTTATTACAAAGAAGTCTGCAGAGCATTGCACCACCCGTGTATTGCGGCTGGAATGCACAGGCCCCTGCGGTATTTGCTTGTATAATGTGGACGCAGTTTTTGTGTTCGAGACAACATAGCTAAGCCCACTTGGGATGGAACCCATTTCAAGTTTCTGTCCAACCAAAACTTTTTTTGTGTGTAGTTTGTAATAGAGTGGGTATGGATTAGAACAGCTGTCAGGTTTTTACTGCTCTGTTTAAGACTTTTCCTCTCACTTCCTGTCCTGGTGACCGCCAGTTCAGGGATACGTCCTCACTTTTCATCTGGTCAAACTTGTCACTGCAAATGCTTTAGGGCCAGTTCACACTACATGCGTTTCAGTTGCATTTTTTCTGCATCCAAAATGCACAGAAAGTAGGTTATATGGTTTGTCCGTGTCATAGTTCACATCAGTGCTTGCAGTTCCAGTGCGTTTTGGATGCAGAGAAAAAAAAAAAAAGTAGAACATGCTGCATTCTTTCTGCACAAAACTGTACTGGAATGTGGTAAAACGCACCGAAAACACACATGTCCCTATTTAAATTAAAGTAATTGAGAGGGGGAAAATGATCCATATATATATATATATATATATATATATATATATATATATATATTATACACACGTGCGCGCTTTTTTTTTTTTTTTTATAGACCCCTTTCACACAGGCAGATCAACCTGCTCATCGGAGACAGCTGAGGCCACCTCCAGGCGGATGACAGGTCCTTGTCCACTCTGCAGTGCACAGACACTTCCTGCTGTTCTGTATGGGCCATTGAATGTAGATGGACCATCTGTTCGTTTACATCTGACCCGCTGGACATACGGTTGGGGAGCAGATCCCCCATCCATCTGTTTTTAGCAGATAGGATTAGATCGTATGAATTCAGGTGTGACTGGACACGTGTCCATTTACATCTACCTCCCCATAGAGAACAGTGGACAGTCCGGTCAGTCTGCCCATGTGAAAGGGGTCTTACCCCTAGGTGTGTGTTGTGCACATTTCAGATACTCACTCATGCAGAGGATCCAGCATTTTCTCGCTGAGATCCTCTTTCCCTTTGCCACCACTTAGTCCCACGCTACCTTGTTGCTTGTGACATCATTGAGAAGCCACCAGCACTTCCAGGCTTAGCTGGCGCGCCTTCTTATGACATGGCGCTAGGCCCACCCCTCCTCTTTTTGAATGAAGAGCTGTGCCTCCTGGGATGTGTGGCATGCATAACTCAGGCGGTACAGCAAGCACTGTGCACATCATTTGCCTAGGCGAGTGATGTGCATGGAGAGGTGGGGCTGCACATTTCATTCATGCAGCAGAGGGGAGGAGGGTGGATTGGAGGAAAAGCTGGCCATAGATGGATAAAATCTCGGCCAGGTGAGCAGGGACCGGCCGAGATTCTATGGGCAGGCTAAATGTACCCAAGTTGATCCATCAATTGGCATATCTGGTTTTTAGCATGCAGTCATTGCCAGCTGCTATAGCCGCTAGTAGTAATCATTATGTTCTCCTAGATGGGATGGCTCCCTGTTTCCTCTCACCTCCACCTCCACCAGGAAAGCACAATAGCTCCACAGAGGGCTTCCCCCATCAACAATGACTGTGTAGATGGGGAAATCAAACAATTTTCTTCTCTGCAACCTGTGATTGCAGGAAAGAAAATCTCATAGGCTATGGCCTATCATAGTATACTCTGAGGGTGAAGATCTGCTTTAACAGCTCCAGATAGCAGTACAAAATTTAGAGGTTCTAACCCTTCCCCATGCTATCCAAAGCTAAATAAAGAGGTTTTGTCTGGGCTTATGCAAGAAATGTAACATTTAGGAGCCTCTTCATAGTGGTATTTTATGCAAGACTTAAAGTAGAACTGAAGGTAAAGCCAGCCATACATGGATCACAATTCAGCCGGTTCAGCAGGGACCGTCCAAATTCCAATTTATGTATGGGCAGGGGGGTTGTACTGAAGTTGATCTAGCAATTAACCGTGCTGCCGGTCATATCCTTCAACGCTGATCAGTGTATTCTGATGGTGGGGAAGTCTCCCCACTGTCAGAATACAGAGGCTCAGTGGGGAGGATTCCACCATCAGCACCAAATGCATCAACAAAAATAATACTAATGTATTGGCTGCTTAACACAGTGAGAAAAAATCCCTCCAAAGGGAATCCAGGGATGTGAACAAAACCAGTGTCCCCATTATTAGATTTCACCTCTTTTACTGTTCCCAGAATCTAGGATTTTCTTTTACTTTCAATGGTAAACAGAACAAAATAGGGTGAATTTCCCTAATGGAGACACTGACCACAATAATAACTGACAGGTGTTCTAATCCCTCTTCACTCTGTCCAAAACAGAAAAAAACCCTCTTTAGTTATACTTTAACCCATGACGACCGGACTATAGTTGAATGACGGCTACAGTGTAGTTCTGGGAGGGTGTCATATGATGTCCTCCAGAACCGTGCCAGTGCTGTGTCCAATGACACAGCTGATCACAATGTAAATACATTTGCCAGTTTTCGGCTGCAGTTTCCTCACGCTGTCAGAAGATAAGAGTCGGTAATCGAGAAATGTATTTAAAAATCAGAGGAAGTCCAGTGCAGCCCCCCCAGTCCATCAGAAAAATTACCGTTAGTAAAATTTTATAACAGATACTAAGAAAAAAAAAAGTTTTTTTTTTTTTTTTTTTCGTTTGGCAAAAAAAAACAACCTAGAGATGATTAAATACCACCAAAAAAAAAGCTCTATATGTCTCAAAAAAATGATACAAATTTCATATGTGTACCGTGTTGCATGACTGAGCAAGGAAGGGGGTAAACGTGCCCGGTAGACAAGTGGTTAAAGTGACATTAAAGTATATTTGTTTTTTTAATAAAAAACAGACAACATAACTTACAAAAACATTCCTCATCCAAGTTTCATTTTATCATTGTCCCCCGCCATGCTGACACACTCCTCTGTATTTGTGCCACCTGTGTCACTGGGACCCATCGAGTCCCATGTCAGCCTCCTTTACAAATGCACTCTTGCTTTGTACTACAACTGTATGTGCAGCATTCTGTTTTCACCTGACTGCTCACTGATCCATTCCGCCTAGATGGAGGGGAGCAGATTCCCTTCTGTTTCTTTTAAGTGGACCGGATCTGCTTGGAGGTAGGCGGGTGTAAGTGGAAACTTGTTGGTCCACAGGGATACGTGGACCATTTGATCTGGTTCATCTAAAAAACTAACAGGCGGACCTGATCTGATCGCCCGTGTGAAAGGGCTGTAAAGGAAAGTAATCCAGCCATCACATCTAAGAATTTTTACATTGTAGCTTTAATAAATGTTGTTTTTGAGTTTAATATCTCTTTAAGCCACTTTATTAAAGGCAAAAGTTGAGCTGATGCTTTTCTGGGGTCTATACCATGCTAGCTTCATCATTATTAAAACAGTTATTATATATAACTGACGTACAGCGGATTGTTTTCCATAACAAATATTAATACATAAATTCTTTGCAGATCAATATATCCTATTACTATTGATTTATGTAAGTTAGCATAACTTCACCAGACATAGAACTTGTCATCTTTTTTTAGGTGCAAATCTTATTCAAATTGCCAGGACGCATGCTACGTCATCAAATGGAGGTCAGTATTTTGGAACTAACAATATAAAATGAATGTCATCTACTTGCTAAGATTAAAGCCGTAGTAAACACCACTAGTATACTTTCTTACAATAAAGCTTACCTGTAGGTACAAAGAATATCTCCTAAACGTTCACCGTTCAGGAGATATTTTCTGTTTGTGCAGCCAGTGACATCACCGGCTTATGCACTCTGATGGGATGGCATACTTCTGTCATCCCATCAGAACTCATGACTCCGGCAAGTATGCACAGGATGAAGTCATTGTGGCACGGACATTCAAACAGCTGCAGCCCACAAACGGAAGACCAGGTGAGAATGGAAGCCCTGTCATCAGTGATAGCATGTTTCTGGAGGGCTTCTTTCTAAGGTAAGTGTTTATTTCATGATACATACTAGCACATTATATTATCATGCAGGAGCATTTTTTTGGTGAAAGTTTACTACCGCTTTAATATTCTGCTGTTGATAAATGTTGTCTCCCCACCTTCTCAGGCTACTTTTACACTTCTGGTGTTTTATAAGTATGCACTAAGCAGCCATAGATGGGGAGAAAAACGCAGATTTCCTAGAAGCTGTTATAGAACTATCGTCGGTGCTAAAAAACTTACCTTTTACCACCAATTTTATTGTACGAAAGATAACAGCAGAGAATGAGTAACCTATAACGGAACATGATGACATTTTGTGGCCTTTGTGATCCTTTTTCGATGAAAACGATCGAGTTCGTTTTGATGACCATCAATGAGGATAAAGTCAAGTGCGTTTTTCGAAAAAACAAAACAAGTCACCGAAAATCTGAAAGTCCAAAATGACACGAAAAACATAAGACAAAAGTCGTCCTACTAACGATATTAGGCTATTAGCATTTTCTGAGCTTTTATGTGGAAAAAAATTGGCCGTTTTTCTCTCCAAAAAACCTGCTGCTAAATGCTCTTAACAGCTTGTTTTCTAGCTTTTTTTTTTTCTACATGTACTGTATAAAAAACGCTAATAAAACGCTAACACTGTCTAAACGCTACAAAGAATTTTATTGCTACTAAACAAAATGCTATTGCAAGCAGTTTTTTTCCAGCGTTTTATTTTTAGACAGAAATAAAACATACAAGGTAGTGTTCGATGAATAATGTTTCAGATATGTACTGATGGAAAGACAAGAAAATAAACTTTGTACACAAGTTTGCCATATATAAAAAAAGGAAAACAAAACAATCAGTTTGCAATGAACCATGGTAGACATTTAAAAACCAATGACATAATAAACTAAAGTAAAAGTGTTGTTCGGGTATGTGTCCCAAGTATGTCACATTAGTTCATATTAGCATTTTCTGAGCTTCAGTGTGGAAAAAAAACTGTCGCAGTGGAAAAAACGCTGCTAAATGCTCCTAACAGCTTGTTTTCTTGACCCTTGGAACATATTACATTTTCCACATGTACTGTAAAACATGTAACATGCTAATTCAAAACTCCTAAACACTCACCCCCTTCCCCCCCCCCCTGCTCTCTTGCAAGCGGTCTTTTTTCTCAGTGTTTTATTTTTAGCTAGAAAAAGGATCTTCCCCGCACCAGTGTTCATGGAGCCTAAGTGTTTCTGATATATTGTTACATTTATGAACCATTGGTATCAGTTTGTTACATTTTCATTCTGTGAACCATTGGTATCAGTTTGTTACATTTATGAACCATTGGTATCAGTTTGTTACATTTATGAACCATTGGTATCAGTTTGTTTCCACTATTTTGTATCAAACAGCTGAAATGGTTATGAAAGGTCCTATTTATTCGGACCTGTCATACTTCACCAAGTAGTAATGTCTCGTTTATTTGAGTTCATTCTGTAATATTGAAGACCTTTTGTGCAACTCCTACTTTACTTTTGTAAAAGGTAGACTTACCCTTTACTACTTAAAAAAAAAAAAAAAAAAAAACCCCTTTAAAACTGAAGTTGACAAAAATTATTACAAAGCCATCATCAATTTATTATATTTATTTATATGAATATTATTATATGAATATATTTTTATCCTTCAGGATTTGACAGCCAGTTGGATGATTTGCCACCCACACTGCTTAAGGAGAAGTATGATGAAGTGCAAAAAGTAGAAGTGTAAGTAAGTCATGATGTTAGCAGATGTTGGAGTCTGTAGCATGCACTCTAGCCATTATGATTGTTACTCTAATTACATTTCTGTATTTTGTTCATGGCAATGAAATCTACAAGGATTGTCTCATTTGAAGTTGATCTGTACTTTGCCCACCTTCCACTTGCTTCCCTACAACTCTGATCCACAACCAGCATGTATGAGATTCCAGTGTTGTGATCAAAGGCATACCGGGTTTGCATACTTCCTCATATGATAGCATTGAGGTCTGGCAATTGGCCATTTAGCCACTAAGCACTGCACTGTTGGTGTGTCACATATTCTCATTTACCTAAAAGATTTGCATATTTCCAAAGTAGGCCAGCAGTTGGAAGGTAAATGTATGTAACTAATGCCCTATACAATAAAGTCTTCAATTTCTTGTAGTATCATAGCGAAACAATATTTAAAGCGGAGTTCCACCCAAAAGGGGGAAGTTCCGCTTTAAAGATTGGTCCCCCGCTCCCCATTATTAAGGATTGGCATCTTTTGGGTGGGTGGGTGGGGAACAGGTACCCGAATTTGACAGGTACCCGCTCCCACTTCCGCTGCAATCACCTAGGCGATCAGGAAACGGAAGTTGTCCTCCTACCCTCCCTCCCCGAAGTCTTGTGGGACACGTGACGGGGCCATTCAGGAAGCTCTGCTTGCGCATGCGCAGTGGGCACCCAGCTGTGAAGCCGCAAGCTGTCACAGCCGGGGGCCCACACTGAAGATGCTGGCGCCTGGAATACAGGACGGCCAGTGAAACGGGCTGCGGCAACGCGCAATCGTGGGACAGGTGAGTGGCTGTTTTTTAAAAGTCAGAAGCTACAGTTTTGTAGCTGCTGACTTTTATTGAGTGAGTGGAACTCCACTTTAAGGGCACAGCTGTGCTCTGTCTGCAGTATTCTAAGTGAAGATCCTGTAGTGTTGCATTTAAGTTGTTTCTTCTTTTTTTTTTTCCCAGAGTTAACGATGTTGTCAAAAGGCTATTGTCATTAGACATGGCAAGTAAGGTCAGTATCTGTTTAAGCAGTGCTGCACCCTATTTTTATTTGTAAAGATCAGTCAATGTCTTTTTATAGTATATCGCAATCAATATGTCTGTTGGGTGTCATAGAAATGCAATCTTGACCACCTCAGTACCAGCATGTTACACCACCTTCCTAGCCAGTCCTTTTGATAATTTGACATGCAATGGTGTAACCAAATTAATTTTACATCATTGTTTTTTAAACAGATATGGCTTTTTTGGTGGTATTTAGTAACCACTTCTTTTTTATTTTTACTGTTAAAAAGGATTACCTCAAAATTGGGATTGCTTACATTTACCTTTTTAATTTCTAATTTATTTTCATCTGTAATATATTTCTAATACTTAATAATTAGCGTTGTTTCCTGGCATAAAACATTAGGGTTGCTACGTATTAAAACAGATATTTAGGTAAAAAGTAGGCATGACTGTTTTACACCCGAATCGAATCCCCCACCAAAAGCATTAGGTTGGATTTAACCCTTTGCACTGCAGGAACATACAGAAAAACACTTGTGCGTTTGGGTGCTTCATTACTAATAGCACCCCAATGCAGCTGCTTTGTAATGCACCACAACACACAGTAACATACTACTGTGTGTTATGGTACACCTCCTTTAACCCCTTCATACCTAAGGGTAAAACAAATCTAAATGCCTAAGCACAATTTTGCACCGTTGACATGTGTTAGTAAAACTGTACATATCATCACAACTACTTTGTACATCCGGGTGAATTATACCGTGTTTTTTTTCAGGACAAATTGGGCTTTCATTTGGTGGTAAATGGTAATGGATATCACCTGAATTTTTTTTTATTATCAAAGGAAAACTGGCCCAAAATAGTAAAAAAAAAAAAAAAAAAAAAGAATTTTATTTAGCCGTGTGTTTCTTGTTACTACCATAACCTACCACCAAAGAACAACCCAAAATAAATTCTCCTGCTCTTGACAATCGCAGCAATACCATATATGTGTATGTTATTTGTTGTTTGTACCCGTAGTACAGCCCAGAAACAATAGTGCACATTTTGTTTTGTCTTTTTTTTTTTTACCTAAAACTCATTGAGGGCTTGTTCACACTTTATTTCTAACTCTTGCCAAACACCCCTATAACGTTAGACAGATGTTTGGGAAGCATTTTTAATGCTCCTCAAATGCTCCCCAAATGCCCAATGCGTGATTTTGAGCGGTTTGATAGGCGTTTGCCAATTGTTAAAAGCACACCACAAATGCCTATAATGAAGTTAAATAGTATTAACGCTCCGCAAATGCCTTGCAACCGTGTCACAAATGCCTGGGGCTGGGCTACACAGTGACTGATCACTGTGATAGCCAATCAAAAGCTATCACACCGATCATGTGACCCGAATCGGGAGTCCCGGGTTCCGATCATTAGAACGGAACCCAGTGCTCTAAGTGACACCGCAGTCTTTGTGCTGGGAGTGCGCCATGTGACGCACTCCCAGCACAAAGACAGGTATGCAAATATGCGGCCGCCACGGAAAAAAGCCCAGTTCTGTGAGGCCGCATATTTGTGTTACGTTGGCATCAAGGGGTTAAGAAATGTACATGCATCTTTTTTGTATGTGTTTTTAGTCCATTAGGGAGCTACCTAAAATGAATGCTGTCATGCAGGGGTGGGGAGAGGGTCTTCAGTCTTGTGTACGCTCCAAATCATGACTTAGTTTACACAGGTCTTCCTCTCCTTGCTTAGAGGGCTAAGTGGCAGGGAAGTGAGGGATAGGTGTAATCTGCTGGGGAAGGGGTAAGTTAAGTAAACCTTTGACTTTGCCTGGCACAGGTTCACTTTGAAAAATACCCTAATAGATCTGTTCTTGCTTTTTACATCTGTGTATTGGGGAGGTACATTTTAATGATTCTCTTGTATAATTTGTAAGGAACTATTTGTCTTCATATGTGAACCTAAAACTTTAACTGTAACTTTATTAATGTGCTGTTCTGTGTCTTTTTAGTCAGACAAGCTCAAAATTAAAATCCAACAGCTTGTGGATAAAGTGAAAATAAGTCCTGATGATAAAACATCCAAAGCAGTTCAAAGTGAGTGCTACGTTTTAGGAGCGCGATTTTACGAAGCACAATTTATGTGTGCACATATCTTTGGCTTTGCACTGTCTTGGTGCAGTCCCACTGCATTTTCCCATACGCATCTATGATGTCCCACGGATTTTGTACAGTTTCAGACAGCACACCATAGATGCAGCTTGCAGGCGTTTTTGTGCACTTTCTGAAACTGCAGCCAAACTGCAGGACCTCATAGAACTCAATGGGAAAAATGTAGTTAACCCACACGAAAACCAAAGATTAGCTTTGCTTTAGCAAAAGCACAGCAGGGCAGTGTAAAGCTTCCCTTACTGCTCCTTAATGTGTAAGTAATGTGTTATTTCATTTTTACAAATAAATCTATGTGTGCCTAGTAATCTAGCCAGTCTTTGTTGAATAAAAAGGGTCAGGCGCAAAGGATCACTTAGTCTTTTTCTGCTTTCTATGTTTCTATTTTTATTGTATGTGGTGCTTTTGTCATTTTAGGTTTTGTAAGGCACAAATATAAGACTTTAATTAAAATTAGTGTTGTGCAATGGCCTGGCTAGTAAAAGCAGATTTCCTTAGCTGTGGACAGTGTTGCATTATGTGGAAATTACTGCTTTCCTGTTCCTAAGTAATATGAATCTGAACGTTTGGACATGCATAACCATTGTTGCTACATCCTATAGTTAGTATAAAAGAAAAATACAGGAAGCAAAATGGTGTTTTTCTTCTTAGATCCACTTTGATATAGAGATGTGTTGTGTTGAGAATGTCCGTAAGTAAAAGAAGAGAATCCTAAACCATTCACATGTATATGAATGTAAAACATGATTATGACATGGTAATAATAAAGATTTAATTTTTTTCACTTGGACTTTTAACATGATGGCCGCAGGGTTCTGTAAAGTTCTGATTTAAATAGGGGAAACAGCAGGAAAACATAATAAAAACCGCAGCAATAAGGCGTAAGCGTATCACCTAGCAACCTTACATGTCAATATTTGCTAACTGCAGCATAAACTCATGAACGCATGACAGCTTGCGGGCTCTATTGTCCATACCAGCCCCACGTGCGCAGTAGAAGAAGACGGTGGGCAATATGGCAGTGATGACTGTCACGTGCATGGTAAAGAGTGTGCTTGCAGCTCAGTGGCGGGCATATGCGGATCATTGCTGCCATATTTGATGTGACCTGGCTGAGGAGGGGTGGTGCTAGTACAGTGGTACAAATTGGGGAGGTAATTGCACTTGAAACTCCTGCCAGCACTTCTACCCACTCTATCCTGCAAAAACTATGCCAGCATGTTGTGCTGCTGCTGTAGTGGGGGAGGACAAGAATATAGAGACGTATTGGCAGGAGTTTTGCTACTCTATACTCGCCTCACTCTCTACGAGTTAAGTCAAATTATTTCAATTGGCTTATCAGCCAGAGGGTCAATAGTGATCAGTATGATTTCTAACCTTTCCAACTGACAGTTTACCCTGACAGCAAGTGGAGTCCTCAAGTGTGACTGTATACTATGGATTGGGGTTGTGGTCAAGTCACAAATTCTACAAACATTTTACCTACTGTTGCACACCTTTTTTTTTTTTTTTCCCACCATGTTCTTTTTAATCATATGCCACATATTTTTCTATTCTTTCTCTACCCTCGTGTGCCACTGCTGTTATTCATGTGATCTTCCTTTTTCCATTTGTGACAAATTACACAACTGTTTGTCAGTGTTTCTTACCTTTAGTCTCATCTCTAAAACTGCTTCACGAGCTATGACACACAGGTTCATTAAAATCGCAGAAAAGTATATTTGTACACATGTTGGATGGGACACTTGCTGACATCTCACCAATGAAGTTTCTTAAAGAAATTTGTTTCATGATTTATTACTCTATCATGTTTCAATAGCTAATATATCCTGGTTCAACTATTAAAACATGTTTTATAATTGCAGTTGCTGTTTTGACCGGCAGAATCCAAAGCTTCAAGGAGCACATCCAAATGCACCCAAAAGTAAGAAGTTTACAAAAACCTAGGATATCTTAAGATTAACAAAAATATAGGGGGGAAAAAAAGTGTAAATGTTTGCCTTGCAGCGCCACCCTCAACCCACCTGACTGAATAAGTCTGACGATGCACAACTCAGACATGTTACCCCTTTTAATAATCTATAAAGTGCTGCGCATTAATAACCATAAAAAAAAAAATCAATGTGCACATGAAGATAATATACTATGTCCACTTTTAGGGGATCCCTGAAAACCCATTTCTTCAGAGAAGCCTATCCCGCCTCCACCTAACAACGACTGTACTTTTATTTTCTCCATCAGCTCATCCCCCACAGTTATTACCTTTTTTGTATTACTTGACCCTCCCATCTAGATTGTGAGCGCTAACGCTAACAGGGCCCTCTGATTCCTCCTGTATTGAATTGTATTGTAACTGTACTGTCTGCCCTCATGTTGTAAAGCACTGCTCAAACTGGTGCTATATAAAATCCTGTATAATAATATAGTGCTTCCAATGCCAGTGAACCAACCTCCACCATAGGTAATTCACAAAAGGCTTACCGGAATTGCATGACCCTCTAAATAATAGGTTATATATGGCATGTGTAAATACTGTATATGGATCCACCTCTAATGCACACCTCAAGAATTGCCACTTGGTTGCAGACTAATCCCAGGATCAATTTGGGGTATTCCATTATATGTATGCGAGGCCACAATGACTCCAGAAATCATCACACAGAACCCCTTTGGTATTTAGATCTTGCTTCAAGCATCCATGCAATTGCACTCAGAGAACTAGAAAGGAGACCCATGCTCATAGTGTAAATCTGTCACAAACTATTAGAAAAAAGAAAATTGCACTCACATTAGTGAAGAGTAAAAACAGTGCTGTACATGTAAATCAACCGAATGTTACCAATTTTTTCTCAGTGGTGGATGACCCTGAAAGGGAAATTCCGCTTATGTCGTCCTCTGCCACTTTTGGAACTTTTTTTTTTTTTTTTTATGGGGGGAGCGTTTTGTCAGGTACCTGCTCTCACGACCACTGGAAAACCCCTCCAACTCCCTCTTGACTGCTACCTCCTGGGACACCTCACAGATCCCAAAAGGCTGCAGGAAAATGCACGCAGTGCAGTGTGGCTCACGTATGCGCAGTGTGGAGCTGGGTATGAAGCTGCAAGGAGTCACAACTGGCTTTCCACAGTTTTTAAAGTGATCACATAATCTGTTCTCGGCTGCATAAGGGGCTTAGAGCTAAGGGCAGAGAAGCATCAGTACAGTGATCTTTCCCTGTGAATGGCTGTGCTGGGAGGGGGGGGGGGGTGTCGGCATAAGTCTTATTATTGGAAGACAGACAAGCTGTTCTCCCAGTGCAGCCAGAGCACTGGCCATACTGAGTTGGATGTGCTGTCATGCCTAGCGTGGATCAGTTTGAAGATGGAAAGCAAGGAAACAATATTAAGAAAGCAGGATACCTTTTGACATAAGTACATGGTACAACATGCACATATCAGGATAATGAAATGTTGGTGTAACATAGTCTTTAAAGCACAAAATAAGCACTTGGAGTCTTTACATTTATCAGGTTGTCCTTTTGTGTCACAGAATATCTATACAATTACCATAAGTCACATTACTTACCAAGCCAGGTCTCAGATTTAAAAACAATGTAACGTACAGCATTCTGAAGTTTGTTTCAAAAAACATCTAAAACCAGCCTCCTATTGCATACAATATTCTGCCCCTGGTTTGGTGAGTGATGTGGCTTATTATGTTATGGTAAGTATATGGTTACTTTGTGATTTGAAAGTTTTTTTTTTTTTTTTTTTTTATATTGGCTTACTGGTTATTTTTGTTTTGTTAGTGGTTTTTCTAAAATAATATTTTTTTAGCCAATGTATGCAAATGTTCAAAACACTGCTGAAACTGATTTCTGTTTTCCTTAGCTCATGGAATAAAATAAGTGGGAACTGCGGAAAGTCAGAAAATACATTAATGTTGCCTCCAAATATATATGATTGTGTTCCCTCGGCTCTTTCAAAACTACGGGTTCGTTCACATCAGCCTTCATGCTATAGTGCCTGGTGCCTGTTAACCACTTGCCTACCAGGCACTTATACCCCCAATCCTTACCAGGCCAATTTTCAGCTTTCAGCGCTGCCGCACTTTGACAATTGCGCGGTTCATGCAACATTGTACCCAAATGAAATTTTGATCATTTTTTTCTCACAAATAGAGCTTTCTTTTGGTGGTATTTAATCGCCACTGGGGCGCTTTACTTTTTGCGCTATAAATTAAAAAAAGTGCAAAAAATTTGAAAAAAAAAAAGTTTATTTGTTTCTTTTATAAAATTTTTCAAAACAGTATTTTTTCTCCTTCACTGATTTGCGTTGATGAGGCGGCACTGATGGCACTGATAGGCGGGGCACTGATGGGCACTGATAGGCAGTACTAATGAGGTGGCACGGATAGGCAGCACTGATAGACAACTAATTAGGGGTCACGGATAGGCAGCACTGATATGCAGCACTGATAGGCGGCACTGTAGGTGACACTGATTGGGTACTGATAGACGGCACTGATGGCATCCACTTCTGGGCATGACTGGCGGCCACTGACTGGCACAACCCCTGGGCCACTGACTGGTGGCACTGACTGGCAGCACTGCTGGGCGGCACTGGTGGGTGGGCACAGGTGGGGGCACTGGTGGGTACAGGTGGGTGGCACTGGTGGGCACAGTGGGTGGGCACAGGTGGGTGGCACTGCTGGGCACAGGTGGGTGGCACTTCTGGGCACACAGGCAGAGTGGCACAGGTGGGTGCACTGCTGGGGCACAGGTGGGTGCACTGCTGGGCACAGGTGGGGGCACTGCTGGGCACAGGTGGGCGGGGCTAGTGGGCGCACTGCTGGGCGGAACTTGCGGGTGTCACTGCTGGGCACCGATCATCAGGGCACTGATCATCAGTGCCCTGATGATCGGTGCCGATCCCCGCTCTGACAACTGCCGGTTCTCGGCAGTACTTTCCTCACGATCTGACAGCGTGAGGAAAGTGCAGCCGAGAACCGGCACTTGCATTTCCCTGTGATCAGCGTGTCATTGGACACCGCTGATCACGTGGTAAAAGGCCGGTGGGATCGGCCTTTCACCACATCACGTGATCAGCTGTGTCCGTAGGACACAGCGATCACGGAGATCGCCGGGTGCGCGCCCCCTGGGGCCGCGCCTAGAGCATGCTAATTTTAAGTGAGGACGTCATGTGACGTCCACTCAGAACTGGCCCTCGGCCGCTTTCAAGGGTTATGGATGCGTTCACATTCAGGCCTTCTATGCGCGGTCGTGCAAGAGGTTAAGTTGGGGTGGTGTTTTATGTTACAATGCAAGGCATTTCTTTCTTTTTTTTTTTCTTTAACTTTATTGAAGTGTTAGAAAAGTGACACTTCATTCCAGTCTTTGCACCCTATTGCAATGTGATGTGGGGCAGTCGCATGCAGTCGGGGTAAACTGAACACATAGTAAACAATTTCTATGTACCTTTCTGTTGAGCCTGTGCTGGTCTATGTAGATCGATGTGGACAGTGTGCATGAACCCTAAGAATTTGTGCTCAAAAGAATGTTTACCTCACTGTCATACACATAAAAAACAGAGGAGCAGGACTGCTTTCATTTATGATTATCTTTCATAAATATTTAAATGCCTCTGCTGAGTAGTGGTGATAGTATAGTGATTCCTGGCATAAGTATATTGCATAACTGCAGACAGGACATCTGAGTGAGTGTTAAAAGGTCTCGCCACTAATATGTAAGCTTTTCTTTCAGATGGGTGTAAACCTCAGACATGAAATATGAACAAAGCATTTCGCTCTGTAGTGTGTATTTGTCTCTATCCAGAGCACTACAGGTGAAACTCAAAAAATTGGAATATCGTGCAAAAGTTCATTTATTTCAGTAATACAACTTAAAGGGTGAAACTTATATATGAGATAGACTCATTACATGCAAAGCAAGATAGCTCAAGCCGTGATTTGTCATAATTGTGATGATTATGGCTTACAGCTCATGAAAACCCCAAATCCACAATCTCAGAAAACGAGAATATTACATGCAATCAATAAAACAAGGAGTGTACATAGAACAATATTGGACCTCTGAAAAGCATAAGCATGCATATGTACTCAGTACTTGGTTTGGGCCCCTTTTGCAGCAATTACTGCCTCAGTGCGGCGTGGCATGGAAGCTATCAGCCTGTGGCACTGCTGAGGTGTTATGGAAGACCAGGATGCTTCAATAGCGGCCTTCAGCTCTTCTGCATTGTTCAGTCTCATGTCTCTCATCTTTCTCTTGGCAATGCCCCATAGATTCTGTATGGGGTTCAGGTCAGGCGAGTTTGCTGGCCAATCAAGCACAGTAATCCCATGGTCTGGTGAAGGAAGCATGAAGTGCTCCAAAATCTCCTGGTAGACGGCTGCGTTGACCCTGGACTTAATGAAGCACAGTGGACCAACACCAGCAGATGACATGGCTCCCCAAATCAACACAGACTGTGGAAACTTTACACTGGACTTCAAGCATCTTGCAGTGTGTGCCTCTCCATTCTTCCTCCATACTCTGGGTCCTTGGTTTCCAAATGAGATGCAAAAGTTGCTCTCATCAGAAAAGAGGACTTTGGACCACTGAGCAACAGACCAGGTCTGTTTTTCTTTAGCCCAGGTAAGACGCTTCTGACGTTTTGTTGTTCAGGAGCGGCTTGACAAGAGAAATACGACATTTGAAGCCCATGTCCAGGATCTGTCTGTGTGTGGTGGCTCTTGATGCGCTGACTCCAGCCTCAGTCCACTCCTTGTGAAAGTCCCCAACACTTTTGAATGGCCTTTTCCTGACAATCCTCTCCAGGCTGCGGTCATCCCTGCTGCTTGTGCACCTTTTTCTTCCACACTTTTCCCTTCCACATAACTTTCTATTAATGTGCTTTGATACAGCACTTTGGGAACATCCAACTTCTTTTGCAATTACCTTTTGAGGCTTTTCCTCCTTATGGAGGGTGTCAATGATGGTTTTCTGCACAATTGTCAGGTCAGCAGTCTTTCCCATGATTGTGATTCCTACTGAACCAGACTGAGAGACCATTTAAAGGCTCAGGAACCCTTTGCAGGTGTTATGGCTTAATTAGCTGATTAGAGTGGGACACTTTGAGCCTAGAATATTGCACCTTTTCACAATATTCAAATTTTCTGAGATTGTGGATTTGGGGTTTTCATGAGCTGTAAGCCATAATCATCACAATTATGACAAATCACAGCTTGAACTATCTTGCTTTGCATGTAATGAGTCTATCTCATATATTAGTTTCACCTTTTAAGTTGCATTACTGAAATAAATGAACTTTTGCACGATATTCAAATTTTTTGAGTTTCACCTGTAGGTGTCATTTCTATCTGCTGCTTCTTTCCTCTATCTGCATGAGTCACTTCTGATAGGTTTTCCTGACACCAAGAGAAAAATGGTGGCAGAGGAGGCACACCTGTAACTGACAGTCTCAGCTCTGTTCCTGTGTACTGTCTGAAGGAACGGGGAATGTCTGTTCCCTCCAATCAGCCCTTGGAGCTCTCTTCAGTGATGTAACTTCAGCTCCTGGTCCCCTTCTTCTTTTCAGAGCTGAGAAATCCTGTGTACATTCTGAACTTTGCATTGACGTAGGGGAAAGATGTCTGTTGTTAAACAGGTACAATTTATTTAGGAGGAGTTTTCATTTTTGTCTATCACCTGAGGCCAGTCACTTCACTGGGTATATGTGAGGGTTTAGAATCACTTTAAAGCTAAGCTTGAAAAATTTGACCTTGATCCTGTGTAACACTGTTTATTATATTTTTTTTTGTTTTCTTTAATATAGGACAAGGCAAACAAGAGAAAGATGCTAATGTCAATAGATCGACGCAAAAAGATGTTAAAAGAACTGCGACTGACTCGTTATGACACTTTCGAGCATGTCTGCAAACAGTTGAACATTGAATACACTTTCCCTCCAGAGTACTGCCGACATGTAACCAAGAGATGGCAGGCAAAGAAAGCTTTATCTTTGAAGGTATGTTTACTGTCACATGAAGGGTTCATCAGGATTTTAAAAGCTTGTTAAATCCCTCCCGGAACCCACACTGCTTGTTTGAATCTGTCCAGTGGTTCTCAAGTAAAATTACATTATTATTTTTTTCTGTGAGTGTTGCCTGTTGCACCTACCTCAGGTTGAAGCAAAAATTATGGGCGTTCCTGTGGAGGTTGGTACAGCCAGCACTAAAGTTCCTGCCCTCTCTCTGTTAACTTTTTGTTTCCTGAGCAGTGTAATGTGGATTGTGTTGTGCTCAAGTAATCCAGACATGAGGAAAGATTAGAGGAACTGATTTTATTCTCTTGAGAAGAGGAGATATGATCAACATGAATAAATACATCAGTGGTTCATATAGTGAACTCGGTGTACAGCTATTCACCCTGAGGTCATCACAGAGGACAAGGGGGCACTCTACGTCTGGAGGAAAAGAAATTTAATCTCCAAACATGGAATGTTTTCTTCACAGTGAGAGATGTGAAAATGTGGAATAGACTCCCTCAAGAGTTGGTTCTGGTCAGCTCAGTGGATTGCTTTAAAAAAGGCCTGGATTTTTTCTTGGATACACAGAATATAACTTTATAAGGTAAAGTTGATGCAGGGAATATCCGATTGACTCTGGGATGCGGGAGGAATTTTTTTCCCCTGCAGGAGCAAATTGGATCATGCTTTGCTGGGCTTTTTTGCCTTCCTCTTGATCAACTGTGGGTATAGGATTATCTTCCCTGTCAGTTTCACATATTCCCCCCCCCCCCCCCCTTCCATCCTTTCTGTCTCCCAGCCAGGTTCATACTCCCCCACCAGGCTTGGTGCTCTTGGATAGCTTCATTCTTCACTTTGCTATGCAGAGCAATACAAAGCAGCATGCTGGAGCTGACGAGAGAAATCTGTATTGTTTACATACAGACATCTCCCCCATACGTGATACTCGGTGATCGCCGGGTGCTGGCGAGGAATCTCTGGCTGGGACCCTCTGACAGCTGTAGTCGCCAATGGCGGCGTGGGTAGGGCGCGTGCCCCCCCCCAACCAGGAATACAAAATAATTTGTATATATACGTGATTTTGTGCAGCCCTGCCGCCCTTTAGCAGTATTTGTGCTATAGCGCGGTTGGGAAGAGGTTAATTGGTATGCGTTGGCTTGTTCTGGAAATTTTATAAAGATGTTGGACTGTGTCTCAAACTGTTGATTAATGGAACAAATTTATTTGGAGGAGTAATCTGCTAGGGCAGATTTGGAACAAAATGGCAACAAATCAGTAATGTTAAAACTTTCTTTCTTACTACCAGGACCTATATGAGTAAATGTGATTGTTTCCACCTGTATGTACCCACTCATCTTCAATTACATGGTTAGAAAATAATATCCATCTCTTCAAATGCCAGTTAATATATTAGAGTAGGATTTTTTGCCCTTGTTTGTTCTGTATTATTGATGGATAGTTATCTGCCACACAAGCAGATATAGGATAAGAGTAGCCTTGTATATCAATAGGGGAGATTTACTAAAACTGGAGTGTGCAAATTCTGGTGCAGCTCTGCATTGAAATCAATCCGCTTCCAGTTTTTATTGTCAAAGCTTAATTAAACAAGCTGAAGGTAGAAGCTGATTGGCTACCATGCACAGCTGCACCACATTTTGCACTCTTCAGTTTTAGTAAATCAACCCCAATATGTCATAGGAAAGTGAGGCCTGACAGTAGCCTCATCATGTGATCAGTCTGTTGTGCATTGCCAGCTTCATATTTCTCAAACAGTACTACGTTGAGACTGATCTTAACACCCTGAATTTTAGGAAGGTCACTGAAAATGGTATTTGTAGTATTCCTCCTATTCAGTTGTGTTGCAACTTATTTTCCAAAATGGAAAACAAATATGAAATAAAAAGGAAATGAAGATGTTATGAAGCAAATATGTGATGAAAGTAACTGTTGTCTAACTACCAGCCACATACTAGTTCTGTGACAATGACTTCATTCACAGCAAAGCTTTAATAGTCTAAGCTTAGCGGACCTGGGATTGACATGTGCCTTGTAAGTCCTAAAATGGCAGCTGTCATCAAATGCTTCTGGTTCAGGTATTTTGCTTTGTGAAACATAGTTTATAGAAGGGTTCTTTACATATAAATGTACTTGTCCTTGCCAGTTTCTTAATGATTTCTACTCCTTTTTTTTTTTTTTTTTTCCCAGGTATATGCAGAGGTAAAGCAGCAGAAAGCTGAAGGATTGATAAATGAGAAGACGCCTAGACGAGTCAGGCCTAGTCCAGTAAAAGAATGATGGATACCTTCATTTCTGCTTTTCGCTGTAAAAGTTAAATATCATGTTATTTTCCTTTCTATATATATATATATATATATATATATATATATATATATATTATATATATATATATATCTACCTTCAGTCACATTGTACTGTGTACAAAATTCTTATTTGCTATTTAAGAGTGATGTCTGACCAAAACTGTCTGCTTCTGAAGGTAGATATAAGGTTTGAAATTTATGATTACAAATTTTGCTAGTCCAAAATAATAAAACTTCCATTTTGTTTACAGCGGCAGTTTGTTTTTAATGTTAACAAAAATGCCTTTATTTTTCTTTTGTCTGAAATGTCTGTACCCGTACTACAAAACATTCTTTCTGTTGCTATATACCTCTTATTCATATCTAAAACAACAGTCCCTCGTATTGCAATCCTTATTAATGGTTGTCTGTTTGAATAGTGCTCCCAGGAATCACTGTGTGTACTAGTCAGCTGAGGAATATTATATTGGAGTTCAGTTGAAGGAAACACTAATAGTTTTTGGTAAATTTTTCAGTTGTATTTGTGAAAGTCACAAGCTCCACCACTTTTGGGCTGTCCACCGGCAATGTACTGCGGACACATGGCAGCTACAGGACTAGCAACATACCTCTGCGTCACTGGTCCATTGTTGATATGGGGGGCACTGCACACAACCTTAAACAACCCCCCCCCCAACACACACACACACACACCCTGCTGTCCATTGGGCACAGCAGAATGAGAATACAAGTAATCGGGACCCGATATGATATCAATGACGACAAAGCATTTATGAATCCATCTGATTCATAAAAGCTTTGCTTCTGTTCCTGTTGAGCTGCCATTGGTCCACAGCTCTCACATGACACATGGGGCCAATCACAGCACTTGGTACCATGTGACCAGCTGGAGCCAATCACATATCACTATTATATTGAACTGTCATGAACATAACACATTCATGACAGTTCAAAGCAAGCAATGAGTGGTACTATGTTATTATGGTAACATTGCATTACTGTGATGAAAGTCTTACAAAAAAAAAAAAAATAGATAAACGTTTAAAAAAATTGAGAGAAGGTGTTTTTTTTTTTTTTTTTTTTGGTAACTACTTTCCTCCCGCCCACCAACAATGTGCGGGTATGCAGTGGCTCTGGGCAAAGCGACTTAATCTTATGTCACTTTCTATTTCCGGGTGTGCATGCGCCCCATGATGCCCCGATGGTGTCCAGGGAGAGAAAAACGATCACGGCACTAGTAAAAGCACTACATTTTACACGCACATGTTATATTAGCACATTAACTCTTTTGATCACCCCGTTTCCCAGCCAGTGCCATTAGTACAGGGTCAGTATATAGAATTTTTCACTGTATTACTGCCACTAGTGTCATCAGAAGTGTCAGTCAATTAGCACGCCTCCCAGCCAGAGTCAGCTAGCGTTACATCGCCTGCACACTGTCGCACTCGAGCTATAGGTCGCTGATCACCACCATTACTAGTATAGTGTTTGTATGGATCAATATATTGATCATGAACAGAACTATACTCGTGCCTCCTTTTGTATATTGTCCCCAAAAATGCAGTGTTAGCAGGATCAACCCCATTCACTGCCAGCACTAGCGTTTTAGCCTCTCAGTTGTTTTTCATGGAAGATTTGTATCTGTTGATTGTGGGCCAAAGCAATTTTTATGCACAACAATACATAGCTGCCCACCCAAATTCAGCTCTTGCCAGACAATTCACATGGAAACCTACCACACTTTCTGAATTTAAAACTTTTTTGGGCCTAACTCTCAACATGGGCATTACGAAAAGAATGAATTGCGGTCATATTGGTCCACAGACCCGATTATTCATATATCTGTGTTCTCTCTGCTGTTACATACAGTGCCTTGAAAAAGTATTCATACCCCTTAAAATATTCCACATTCTCTCATGTTACAACCAAAAACGTAAATGTATTTTATTGGGATTTTATGTGATAGGCCAACACAAAGTGGCATATAATTGTGAAGTGGAAGGAAAATGATTAATGGTTTTCAAAAATTTTTTTTGAATACTTTTTCAAGGACTGTATATCCCCAACACAGACCAGCAACGAACTGGTATGTCACTGGACTTTGAGTATTTATACCGGGATGATGCCTGGAGCTACAGGCATCATCCTGTAATCGTTTTTTTCAGCTGGTGGTTGGCTTTCATGTACAAACAATCCTAGCCGCTAATTAGCTGCTTGATCCCAGTGGTGAATAAATACCAACAAAATAAAGCTTTATCTGTCTCAAAAAAATGCTAAAAAATTCATATGGGTACAGTGTTGCATGACAGCGCAATTATCATTCAAAGTGTGATAGCGCTGAAAGCTGAAAATTGGCCTGGACAGTAAGGGGGTAAAAGTGCCTGGACCTGAAGTGGTTAATAACTCACTAGTGTTTAGTGTTTTATTTACCTGAACACATGTTCTTGGGCCAAAGCTCTCTGGTCACAATGTGGCTGGGAGATAGTTTAACTGTTGGGCAGAGATCACTCTGCCTGACATTTCAAGTACTTTCAGTGGTGGTTATTTAAACAGTGTGTTCCAACATCTGGCACACTGCTGCCTGACCGCATATCACTATCAGCCGCACCTGGGTACACTGACTCCCCTTACATACACGCACTCGTATACATACAGTGCCTTGAAAAAGTATTCATATCCCTTGAAAAGTTTCCACATTTTTGTCATGTTATAACCAAAACCATAAGTGTATTTTTTTGAGATTTTATGTGATAGACCAACAAAAAGTGGCAAATAATTGTGAAGTGAAAGGAAAATGATAAATAGTGTTCAAAATTTTTTACCCTGATACCCCTAACTAAAATCTAGTGGAACCAATTGCCTTCAGAAGTCACCTAATTAGTAAATAGAGTCCACCTGTGTGTAATTTAACCTCAGTATAAATACAGCTGTTCTGTGAAGCCCTCAGAAGTTTGTTAGAGAACATTAGTGAACAAGCAACATCATGAAGGCCAAGGAACACCACCAGACAGGTCAAGGATAAAGTTGTGGAGAAGTTTAAAGCAGGGTTAGGTTATAAAAAAAATATACCAAGCTTTCAATGTCTCACGGAGCACTGTTCAATCCATCATCCAAAAATGGAAAGAGTATGGCACAACTGCAAACCTACCAAGACATGGCCATCCACCTAAACTGACAGGCCGGGCAAGGAGAGCATTAATCAGAGAAGCAGCCAAGAGGCCCATGATAACTCTGGGGAAGCTGCAGAGATCCACAGCTCAGGTGAGAGAATCTGTCCACAGGACAACTATAAGTTGTGCACTCCACAAATATGGCCTTTATGGAAGAGTGGCAACAAGAAAGCCATTGTTGAAAGAAAAGCCATAAGAAGTCCCATTTGCAGTTTGTGAGAAGCCATGTGGGGGACACAGCAAACATGAGGAAGGTGCTCTGGTCAGTTGAGACCAAAATTTAAGTTTTTGGCCTAAAAGCAAATCGCTATGTGTGGCGGAAAACTAACACTGCACATCACCCTGAACACACCATCCCCACTGTGAAACATGGTGGTGGCAACATAATGAGGGGATGCTTTTCTTCAGCAAGGACAGGGAAGCTGGTCAGAGTTGGTGAGAAGATGGATGGAGCCAAATACAGGGCAATCTAAGAAGGAAACCTGTTAAGAGTCTGCAAAAGACTTGAGACTGGGGCAGAGGTTCACCTTCCAGCAGGAAAACAACCCTAAACATACAGCCAGAGCTACATTGGAATGGTTTAGATCAAAGCATATTCATATGTTAGCATGGCCCAGTCCATGTGCAGACCTAAATCCAATTGAGAATCTGTGGCAAGACTTGAAAATAGCTGTTCACAGATGCTCTCCATCCAATCTGACAGAGCTTGAGCAATTTTGCAGAGAAAAATGGGCAAACATTTCACTCTCTAGATGTGAAAAGCTGGTAGAGATATCCCCAAAAAGACTTGCAGCTGTAATTGCAGTGAAAGGCGATTCTACAAAGTATTAACTCAGGGGGCTGAATACAAATGCACGCCACACTTTTCACATATTTATTTGTGAAAAATTTTGAAAACCATTAATAATTTTCCTTCCACTTCACAATTATGTGCCATTTTGTGTTGGTCTATCACATAAAATACATTTATGTTTTTGGTTGTATCAAAATGTGGAAAATCCCAAGGGAATGAATACTTTTTCAAGGCACTGTAGTTTTACCACTCCCACAGCCAGTCCCTGTTGATCCGATATGGGGCCTCCTATGGGGGTACTGCCTGTATTCCCCTATTGGCGGCCCTGGCATCAGATGCCATAGGAACTGGTCACATAACTGGAGAAAAGTGTAAACAAAGCAGCATGGCTATATAGACGCTTTATTGTAAAGTGAGTGTCTGCATAACCAAAGGCAGCAGGGTATAAAGAACATACCTGCCAGACTGTCACATCCTCAAAAAGCCTACAGATATGGTCTATTGCTGTGCCATTCTGACAGGCAAAGCTGTTATTTTTAATGGTGAATCTTTCCCGCCCCTTCTTGTCTTATACGCATTCCCATTGGCAAATAAAGCAGGCTATTGTAGTGATCGGGCAATAGGAATGAGTGGGAGTTTGACTTAGGAGTAAGCTGTGACATTATCTGGAAGTCCAATCAAGTACAGTTGTGTTCAAAATAATAGCAGTGTGTTAAAAAAGTGAATAAAGCTCAAAATCCTAATAGCTTTTATTTCCATACACACAAATGCATTGGGAACACTACACATTCTATTCCAAATCAAAACATGAAGAAAAATATATCAAATTTGTGTTGTTCCTCTAAAAAAATTGAAGAAAAGTGAATATTAGACTGTTCAAACAAATAGCAGTGTTTATATTCTTCTTCACAAACTCAAACATTCACTATATAAAGTGAAAAATGTTTGAAGATTTTGCTTTCCTTTGAATCACTTAATTATTATTTAGTTGTATAAGCACTGTTTCTGAGA